GGTGTGCCAAGACGTAGCACACCATATTTCAAAATGTGACATTTTTTTTAAAGTTTTAATACTCTCTTGAAAAGTTCTAGAGCTCTTTGCAACAATTTTAAATAGTTCCGGTCATTAAATACAAAAATATAGACTTTTAAAAAAAGGTATGCTTGAAATTGTCTATTTTCGAAATTTACGTCAGATGTGCTTATTTTGTTCTACATCGACTCCTGGGTGACAATGTGTGTTTGTCTCACTCCAGTCTCTCAGCAGCACGCCTAGAATCTGGATTAATAATCCATATAATTTAAATAATTTAGATAATTCAAACAATCCAGATAATTTAGGTAATTCATATTATCTGGATTATCCGGATTATCTGGATTATCTGAATTATCTGGATTATCTGAATTATCTGCATTATCTGCATTATCTGCATTATCTGAATTATCTGCATTATCTGGATTCTTTGAATTATCTGAATTATCTAAATTTGGTTTATTTGGATTATCTGGATTATCTCAGTTATCTGAATTATATCAATTATCTGAATTATCTCAATTATCTTTCTCTCTCTTTCTCTCTTTGTTTTGTTCTCTCCTTCTCCCTTATTTATATTTATTTTTGATTTATTTCTCTATTTATTATTTATATTTCGACGTCTATGCACAGTCTACTTTATTTACTAGAACAATACAGATGAATATATTTAACGGGTGTATATCAGTTGGACACGGGGCAATTGGACACAGTCCAATCACAAGTCGCTGTTCCAAGGGACCCTATAAATGTCTCTAATGACACGGAGCTGTGATTGACTATGTCCAAATGCACCGTGTCCAAGTGCACCGCTCCCTATTTAACTAATAAAAACAGTAAAAAATATTAAATAAAGTAAGTAATGTTACATCAAACGCGCGAACTGTCACTCGATTCCACCGCGATGACTGGTACAAGTCGGTGAATCGTTAATGGTAACACTTTCATCATCCTGCCATCTATTGCAGAAACATAGTCAACGGACATTTCTGTGGCGAGGAAAGGACGTTTCTTACGCGAAATTTTACGATTTCGAGCTTTGACCTAAAATAATTCAGCTTCTGGAGCACGTAGAGCAAAGGTAAAGACAGTTTTATTGAGAAACGTAAACTTAAGGAATCGATTAAGTCCATCAGAACTTCATCAATTCAGCCGTTATATCCGAAACGAGAATCTAGCCTACATTCAACTAAAGTCGTCGCGTTAATATACACGGTAGGCCGCGTTGCTTCGCGCTTGCACTTGGCTTCGCGACACTACCGTATCGCTTGATTCTCGTGTATACGCAGTTGTTCTATCCTGTGTATGAGACGGAAGTCAATCATCTTATGGCAGGTTAGAGGGTATATAGCGTTAGCATGTAGAGCACAATTTGGGATAGTTTTTTAGGATTTCTTAAAGAAACATTCGCGGTTGAAAATGTGTATTTTCAAAAATTACGTCAGATGTGCTTATTCCGTTCTACATCGTCTCCTGGGTGACAATGTGTGTTTACCTCACTCTACTCTCTCAACAGCACGCCCAGAATCTTGAAAATAATTTTCCAATATCTCAAAGACACGCCCATAACGTTAGATTCACTGTAGTAGCAGTATATTTGTGTTCTCGCGCATGCGCGGTGTCCTATCCACCGTATAGACCTAAAGTCGGTTATGTAATGGCAGGTTGGAGGTTATATAGCGTTAGCATGTAGAGCACAATCTGGGATAGCTTTTTAGGATTTTTTAAAGAAACAATCGCGGTTGAAAATGTTTATTTTCGAAAATTACGTGAGATGAGCTTATTTTGTTCTACATCGTCTCCTCGAACAAACCTATGATGTTTGTTCGAATTGCTTGTACTATTCACACTTTTACACCTAATGCCCGTTGCACACTGATGCACCTCATACAATACAAATTTTCCAAAATACGTTCTGAAGACGCTTTTAGGATGAAGGGATGTCATCAGAATATTTTTAGGACGTCCTTTGAAGATATGAGCTGTCTGAAAATAGCTAATATCCAATAAGTTTATTCGTATTAATTGAACTTTTTACACTTTCATACTTAGTGCACATTAATTCTTTAAAGATTCTAAAAATGACGTCATGATTTCCGTTCGTGTTACGAGTATAAATGCAATTCTGATACACTTTTTACACTTGATCCTAAGCAAGAGTGAAAAGTGTATCAGAATTGCATTTACACTCGTAACACGAACGGAAAACACGACGCCATTTTTAGAACCTCTAAAGAATGAATGTGCACTAAGTGAGAAAGTGTAAAAAATTCAATTAATGTGAATAAACTTATTGGATATTAGCTATTTTCAGACAATTTACACTTTCAAAGGACATCCTAAGAATATTCTGATGACGTCCCTTCGTCCTGAAAATGTCTTCAGAATGTATTTTGTAAAATTTATGTTGTTTGGAGTGCACTAGTGTGCAACGAGCATTAGGTGTAAAAGTGTGAAAAGTACAAGCAATTCGAACATACGTATGGCATGGCCGCTTTCAGGCTTCTCTCTGGTAGTACAATCCATTTTGTTTTTGTATATTTGGCTCCTTTTTATTTTCTTTCTTTGTGATGTTGGAGTAATCTCTACTTCCAACTTGAATTATATCCTTCCTATTTTTTGTACACTTAGGTTAAGTTTTGCTATACTTAGTGCTCGTCTTGGCTAGTAGCGCTTACGCTATTGAAGACCTACCTATTTCGAGATAGCGAATGGTAACGTAAACTGGGTACCTATTATGGACTTCTTCGGAATCAATTCCAATCGGAAACATTTAGTTATTTCCTAGATTTCTATTGCCTTTTCTAGGGGAAACGGAATTATTCCGATCGGAATTGATTCCGAAGAAGTCCATGATAGATGACGTTTTCCTGATGACGTTTTCGCCATGAAATTGTGACGTCATGGACTCTGTAACGCTTCAAAGCGCCAAGACGAATGACGAAAACGACAGTTGTGAACGCTATTAGCGAAAAAATGTCCAAAATGAACGCACCCATTGAGTTCTGTTCTTTTCAGCTACATTGTTGCACTGGTGCAATAAGTTAGAATAAGACAAATATATTTTATTGCACTTTAGCTTATTGCACCAGTGTAGCAGTGACGATATTAAGTTGGTGCAGCTGAAAAGAACAGACCATAGGACTCTAGTTTCACGTGTAGACCTGACGCTTGACGTATACCAAACAATGTAATAACACAGTGGAAACATTTCAAGCAGTATTACGTAGCATTTCACAACATTCTGTTAAAAAAAAAACCAGGAGAATATAACATATCTACGTGTTAACTATATGCAAAAATGGCTGCCATACATCGAGAAGCGATACAAAAACAGATTCAACAGGACTGGGCTAATCGTGAATATATAGAAGTTATTACCGGCAGTATTAAGAAGATTACAGATTTCCTTAACTCTTTTGGTAATTCGTCGACACTTATCGAATTTTCATTTTTATTATCCAGAAAAAAGTTTATATATAATCATATAAAGATGTATATGGTTACATATATTTAGGTGAATTTTTTCTGTCCATGTATGTGACCTTACATGTGTCCATATTTAATTATATATATCTATACATTAAACAAATGTACATTTATAAACATTTAACAAATATAAATTTGTAGAATTTGTAGAAAAAAAGCAAAACAATTCAATTCAATTAAACGACATCATGGGCTATCATAAATATAAGCATTTACTTCAATTTTCACAACAGCATCCTTTTCAATGTGCATATATAATTATATATGATCATATAGGGCCATATATGAGCAAAATCTATATATGAATTTTTCCTGGATAATATGACTGCTATTTCAATTTAATGCAATACAACAAAACTATTCTTTTAGATATGTCTTGCAGATCAAGGATAGCGGTTCTCAATGAAAAATTGACTACTCTTGAACGTAGGATTGAGTATCTCGAAGCATGCGTAAGTAATTTTTTGTCATATCAAATATGACAATAGAATTTGTTTTGTTTTGTAAGATATTTTTATGTATTTACCATAACAGTTAATTGTTATTTACAATTAAATGTATCAGAGAGATATATATTAGTACTAGCAATTGATTAATATGATTTTTTATTAGTATGATAGCATTTATCAATTAACCAAAAGAAAGTGTGGTAATTATGTATAATAAGACCTTATTGATTGCAATAGTCTTGAAATATGCTGTTAAAGTAATGATCCTGAATAATATCTGAAAAATTTTGGTAATTATTCCAATTTATGAACCTCTCTCCAACAACATTGGTCTTGACATATATTATTAAAAACACTATGCTGAATAACACAAAATTTAAACCACAAAACAAATTTGAAAAATGTTATGTTTAGCTAATCTTAATTTGTGTCATTGTGATATTCGTGTACGTCAAAAATAAGCTATTCATCTTTGTTATAACTTATATTTTTTAACTGTGTCACAATTGTAGAAAATTTATCAATTTTATCAAAATAATCCAGAGACATTTAAACAAAAATTCTGATAAATAATGAGTAATGTTTTACTCTTATTCTGTAGTAGTATTATTCCCCATATGTTATGCCACAATATTTTAAGAATGAACTCCTGTCACTGGATCTACAAAATTCTTGGAATAATTAACTGTCATGTATTGATAATCTTTGATTTTTAAATATTTATGTATCCACTCTAAAAGTTGCTATAATAATATTAATATATGGATATATATAATTAAATATGGTCATATATAAGGCCCCATATATATGGACAAAAAATTCACATATAATTATATATAATCATCAGGATTGGGAAAGTTACTTTTTAAAAATAACTAGTTACAGTTACAGTTCCCTTTACTGAAAATGTAACTAGTTATAGTTACAAGTTACTGGCTATAAAAGTAACTCGTTACAATTACTCAGAAAGTAACAAGTTATTTTTAAATTATTTTCTTAAAATAATTGTAAATTATTATTGTAAATACAAAAATCTTATATTTTAAGCTTTACTAAAATGTAAGAATTAAATTTTATAATTAATATCTATCACTTTAATTAGTCTATCCACTTAACAAATTTGAAATCTGTACTTAATATAATAAAAATTTAATGATAGTCTTGTAAAGGTAAAAGAATTTAATTACATGCTCCATAAATACGTTGATAAATTTATGAAATTAATATATGATTACTATTCCAAGTAACTCACGTCAAAATGACGTCAAAAACTGATTATAACTGGTCGATTAACGTGAAGTGACTAAATAAGAACGTCTTTAAAACGTCTTTTTTGTGACGTCTTAATGATGTTTCTGTATAATGTCTTAATGACGTATTATTGACGTTTAGAGACGTCATTAAAACGTCATTTTGACGACATTTTCACGATGTTTTTGGCCATTAGTCATTTTTTATCATAAACTAACCAGATTTTTATATCATTTTAACGTAAGTCTGCTACCTGGATAATTTTAATTTTATTTTACATTTCCCACTATTACAAGTAACTATTAAAGTAACAGTTAAAAAAGTTACAAGTTACTAAAAATAAATAACTAAGTTATCGAAAAAATATAACTGTAATTTTGTTACAAGTAACGAGTTACTTTCCAACCCTGATAATAACATATATTTTTATATGATTATATATAAACTTTTTTTCCCGGGTAGTGAAAATGAGAATTCGATAAGTGTCAATGGATTATCAAAAGAGTTAAGGAAATCTTTAATCTTCTTAATACTGCCGGTAATAACTTCTGCACTAAATAAATATTCTTAGAGTAATTTTTCAACATACTGCTATGAGAATGACACAATATCTTTCATTAGCACAACATAAATTCGTTAATTCCGCGTTCAAATCCATCGAATATCTATTGTCCTCGAATAACCCAATGAAAACAGCTTAATCAAAATGATGTCAAAACCATCGTTAGTTGTCATTGCGTCAGAAAAGTAATTTAATTTGACGAAAAATTGACATCAGGTAGATCGATATCATGCGCGATAAAATTTCATAGGAAAAGGTAGAAATGTATGTTAAGATGATAATTGTAGTATTATATGGAAAAAATTTAATCCATGTCATCTTGACATAAAAATGATTACATTTTGATGAGATTATTTGATCTACTCTGTTATTATCTTAAGAGAGATCTCCGATGTTATTTTGTAGTATATAGTATAGTATAAGTATAGTTAAATTAAGATTTCCTGACAGTTTTCTCATTGATGCTGAAGCCAAAATCATGTTGGTTTCAAATGATAGAAGAGTTAATAAGTCTCATGACTCTGATATTTAACATATATTATACGGTTTCATTACTTATACTTTGAAGAATTATTATTAATGTTTATTATTAATGTATAGTTTTGTTTGTATTCTTTTAATCTTTGAAAGATCTAGATAGCTTAGTGTGAGATTCTTATGATTTGTTTGGTATGCAATACGTTTTTTTTTTTTATAAAACATAAATTTTTGTTAGAAGACTGTTTTTTTCCTAATGTGAAAATAACATACTAAGCTGTATTATGCATATATGTTTTATTAAAGTGTTTATTTGCTTAATTATTATGTAAATTAAGTTTAGTTATTAACTAAGTCAGAAGTTATTAACTAAGTTTGTTTATATTTATCCTATCAGAGCTTCATCATGGAGTTAAGTTCTTAGACTTTTTTTTCCTAAACTCTTTGCAGGATATATTTCCCGATATTTGTACAAGATTTATGATTATTATTTATTTTTATTTAATATTTTTATGATATATCTTTATAATTACCAAATTACTGTTCTTCCGCTTAACATTTGCAAGGATTGCAGTATTAGTTTAGTCTTATTTTACATACAGTGAAAATAAGGTTAGTATAATTTCTCAATTGTTGCAAACGTTGCAACTCAGCCTTTAAGAAAGTGGTTTGAAGTATACCAAAATAAAATATCATATGTAATATATTTTTGTATTTAACTTATCGGTGCTCTTTTCTATATTCCATATAATACACTCGTCAACAAAATTATCGCAAAAGTAAATTTATGTCAAAATTTCGCATAATTTTAAATAAGCATAATACCGCGAAACTTTATCGTATTTTGAATCTTTTTTTTTTAAAAGAGTGAAGTCTACTTTAAGGAGCATTCGTCCGATTTTGAATTTACTCTCTCCCCTTCCCACAATCTTTTCAAAAGTAAAGACGTATTGCGTCTGTAAAAAATTGTACAATTTGACGTATCCTATGGGATAAATGTTTTTCGTAAATTTCATAATAATCATCGTAAAGTATAGACTTTCCACTGCAAACATTGGTCTTACTGCTACTTGGTGTTCATTGGATAATTTTTTATTTTGATATTAAATGGTCATCAAAATGACGGTCAAAGTGACCATCAACGTATGGGACGTTTTGCAGTCATTTCTGCCGTCATATTGACTACTCTTTTTGACATCACAACTTTCACTCTTCAATGCCATTGTAATCAGTTAAGTCAGTTTTATTTTACATAATTATCACCAAGCGTGTATTATTTATCAATTATTACTATAAATTATGATATTCCCTTTACAGGTCACAAAGGGTGAGACATTGACATAAGTCCTTTAATGACATGATACAACCATTGTTTCTCTTTGTAATCCCTTTTTATTTTTCTCTCTGTACTAGAACCTGAATAAATACACATGATGAAAGCAGACAGGTTTCTCGTATTCTTTCATAACATTGCCATTATATTGTACAACACTTTGCAATGTACCATCGCTCTCTCTCTTGTTGTTTTTCATATGTTAATACAATTTAAACTAATTCCTTCAGGCACGCGTAAGATATTCACTCCCAAGGCCTAGGTCCCCTAGGATCCTTGATGAATGTCCAATCAATAGGTATTGTAGTATGTTGGGTTCTCGCAGTCTCAAGGAAATCATCAAAAGGAATCGGTTTCCAATTCTCAAAATCGCCGAACTTTTTAACCATGGCAAGCATTGTCAATAATGTGCCGTAGGAAAACGCGGCCCTGCCGCTTTTCTGCCACTGGTAAAATACTCCGGTTGTAGCAAACGCTGTAAAGAAAAAATAATTTTTTATTTCACAATTAGTTCAAAGTTAGTTAAGTTAGAATAGAAATTATATACAAGCCGCAATGTAGTTAATATAGCCATCTTTGCCCCGTAACTTTGTCGTTGTATAAGCCACTGATGCGAAAGTGGCGCACATAGCAGTGAAGGGTAGCGTCCAATAGCACAAACAATTCACCGAATTCCAAAACGTATAGGCTTGGGATAAATGTATGCAATCGTATGCACCGACACCGAGGCCGGTAAGTAATCCATACTTGCTGAGCCCAAGTACTTTTTCAATCGGCTTCTCACCCTCTGGTGCATTGCTGTACCTCCAAGTGTTCCAATAATTTTCTATCAGCAAGGCCATTGCTAAAATAAAATGATTGTCATGAACATAGTGAAAAAGATGTATAACAAGAGGGAAATTTCTGTAACTCCTATTATGCAATTCTCTGGGTGTTTACGATAATCAACCGATCTGTCAACAAATCATTCAATCAATTAATATTGAAGAATTCCCTAGACTAATTGAATTAATGTTCCTGTCTATAAATTGATTGGATTGGATCAGATCAAGATAGAGAATGGTAAATTACAGATTGGTAAATTTAACTCTTAACATAATAATGCAACCAGAGAACTCTGTAAATTTAAGAAATAATATTAATGAATTTACCAGGATTCTAAAGATTATATATAAACTTTCCTTAATTCATTTTTGAGCAGGTTATATGATATTTAAATGACATCAATAAATTACATATTGTATATAGACATCTTATATATTGTTTACATTTCATACATAGTTTACACCTACATGTAATATAAATTTGTCTACATAAAGCATCATTTATGCATAAGTATTCATTTGTGCCAATGTCTTATTATGCATGATATTAGGCACGATATATGTGCAAATAAATAAAATGTTAGGGATATGGTAGCAGATTCCATCAAAATATTCTGTGACAGATTTATAAGATGTCTCAGCTTGATTTCACAATTTCTCGTGAGGACGTAGAGCGGATTAAGATGAATAGTATACAGTTTTGCGATATTCGCAATAATAATCAAGATATTAATTAAAGATTGGTGAATGATAACGCGCGTAAATGAACTGTTGTGGCGATATATGCTGTAATCTTCTCCAAACAGTCGAATTATTTTCTTTATGTTACTAATCAATTTAATTATCAGGTTTAATAAACATTCGGATTTAACTATATAATAATAACTATATTTAATAAAATTATAACCAATCTTCCAGCAAAATTACAAGTTATGAATATTCTAAACACAGCAACTAATTAACCGTTATAAACTTTTTACAAGACTTAACAACTAAGCAAATGTCTAATAGGCCATCGCCTCCTAATAATGGACTAATCTTATACTTTTAATGATATTCCCAGACTGCTGCGAGTCTCTAGACTTCCCTCTTTATAATCAGCCAAGGTGATCTTTAGCCCAATTTCTTGATAACTTTCATTTATTTTGTTATTAAAATCAAATTAGGAGTTGATTAGGCTGGAATATCGCTGTTGTATGCTTGTAAATTTTTAATTAATTAAAGAAAATTATGCGATTTTGCACTAAACTTATTGGGAATTGGACTTTTGCATTCACCTCCATCAGCTCTATGCCTTCATGATTTAGATTGTGAAATCAAACTGAAATGTCCTGTATAACTATCAGTAAACCTCATCTTCTATTGACAGAGCTTGCAGACACAATTTGACAGCAGAAACTACAGCAGGATCTACAGTATGTTCTATTTAAATCTATTTAAATAGTAACAGAATGACAGACACTGCTCAATTTCTGCCATCAACCTGTCATGCTTCACTAACAAGTAGCAAGAGTCGAGTTGCTGGCTCTGTTGCAAATTTGTTTATTTGAGAGGTAATATTCTTCTATAGTTCATAAAAATTCTTATATATTTTATCAATATCGATCTAAATAAATAAATGATAAGTTTAATATAAACATCAAAATATGATTTGAGTGTTATATTAATGTAATTTAATAATTGCAACATGCATGCTGAAGATATAAAGTTTAAATATGAAATATCGAATGTAATTTATTAATTTCGCGATACTTTCAAGTGTTGTTATTTAATAATTAACTATCGTAATGGTTAACGATAGTTATCAAGATAGTAATATTATATATATTACATATATAGTGTATATCTTTGTATTAATAGTGACGAATTTTATATGATTTTATAAGAAATAAAAACATCAAGTGCTAAAGTTGTAAGTTCAGAATTAGTTATAAAAAAGAAAATATGACATAACATTGATGTTGGTGATTATATATTCACATACCGCATTGGGCGCAAACCACTCGTTTTAATTCGTCACAAACGAGCAGTGATATCTCAAGAAGGTTATATCACCTGGAACTGGAATTTTTTGAAAGTGTAGTACAGAGTATTGCATATATTCTTCTACGCTTCCGGAAACAGCAACTTTACGAACTGTTTATAATCTACCTTATGTAACACTAACCCCCGGTTTACATTATGGCCGATATTCATGGGTGCGTTCAGATTCCCTACCCGGGCGCACTCTGTTACTAGAAACACTATAGTATATGTTACATATACTATAGCACTTCTTGTATTAGAGTGCACTCGGGTAAGGAATCTGAACGCAGCCCTCAGTCGGGCTTATATTAGGCCTGTTCTTTGTAGTTGCACTGCTGAACTGGTGCAATATATTGAAGTGAAACAAATATACGTTTTCTCACTCTAACTTATTGCACTAGTTCAGTAGTGCAGCTACAAAGAACAGGCCTATTTAACCATCTTAAGTTTATCTTCAGATGATTTATGAATAATTTCATTGGCTATGGAATATCTGAAGAACTTAAAACAATCTTATAGCATGTTCGACTGGCTTTGGGTTAACTCACTCTGGGTTATTCAGTCTACGTTTATTGGTCGAACAAGTAAGGTCGAATAAGCTTTATGATTGGCTAGTAGAGACTTATGATCATTAATCGCTCTCGGAGCGATTAACCCAGGACCAGTCGAACACGCTATTAAATAAAAGACCCGACTATGACGGCGTTCCGAAATGGGTGGGACCCAATTGACCACGATACGATTGGACACAGATTGTAATGATTAGTTCGACCTAGTAATTCACTAGATAATTCTTTTCATTGGTTGGTTGTGTCTAATCGTACCGTGGTCAATTGGGACGCTCCCTTCCGAAATTCACTGCCAGTACTGAAAATCTATAATTCATGTAACTCATGTAATTCATGAATTTTTTCATTGTTCACGCAATCAAATAACTATGCGTGAAAAGCACAAATCACTAAACATGGTTCCTATATGATTTTAATATAGGCCAAATCAGCTGTATCCATCGGCTGTAGAACATATAACTTTAAAAACATCGCTATAACCTTAAGACTGTTATGTTTCCTGTATCTCATCACAGCAATAGCATAATATATTCCGTATTCATCATGTCACTAGATTTTCATTTTTCCGCCAGCACATTTCATGGCTGACAAGTTCACATGAAAAGTTTCATGTTTCTACGCTTCGTCGAATTTAGTGATCACGAGTTTACGTGAAACTTTCACTTTTCATGTTCCGCCCTAGGGGGAAAGTTACATGATCGCTGCCCTGGCAGTGAATTTCGGAACGCAGCCAGTGTAAATCCTCTAAGTTAATATTGACAGCGTTCCGAAATTTACTGCCAGTACTGAAATTCTATAATATACGTAACATGAACTACAGATTTTCAGTACTGGCAGTGCATTTCGGAACGCAGCCATTGTATGTGTCGTACACAATCTTGTCGGCTGCTCCAATTGGCTGTCGAATAGTGAATTTCTAGGGTACTTGGAAAAAGTTAGAGCCATGGAACACAGAAAAACTTAAGCAGTAAACAAATTGACCAATCACAGTCATTGAATCTTCTTACGGTCCAAGAATCAACGACTGTGATTGATCAATTTGCTTATTGCTTACATCTTAGGCTGCGTTCCGAAATTCCCTGCCAGTACTGAAATTCTATAGTATATGTGACATGAACTATAGATTTTCAGTACTGGAAGTGAATTTCGGAACTCAGCCTTAGACTGATATTACATGTGTCGTACATGATAAATTTTTCAGATACGTTTATTAGTTGGCGAATAAAGTATTTCTAGGTTCTCTGTTCGTCAACCAATGAACATATCCGAAAAGCTTGTCGTATAACACATGTAATATCAGCCTAGATCTTATGGAAAAATGGCACGTTGATTGGTTACAGCGTTGCTTCTTGTCGCATGGCAAATATTTCCATATCTTAGATTAGGTTAGGTTATTAGAGTTGCCATGTAAACGTCAATGTCTTTCGGAACGCCTGGACAAACTTCTGCGTTTTTATTTATGTATACTTATTGATTCGAAGTCCGATTTTCGGAGCACGGTACAGCGGGATCGTTGTGTTTGCTAACCCTGCAGAAATGTAAATAGTGCATGACAGCTATGAGTACACGTGGCGTAGTCTTCTTAGATCATTGGTGCATTTAGAGCCGTTGATCGCGAGATGTAGCTGTCATTTTAAGATGCGGATACTTCTCATTAAAACATCAACATCATGCCAGGTTAGAAAATTCCTCTTCCGTTGCTCTTTTTGTAGTCGGTTTCTTTCAGCTGCACTTTCTGTTCTTGTAGTGAAACATCTATTCATCATTCGTGATTTGGCGAAAGGGAGATTGAGAGAAAAAAATTGTGAGGAAGTGTAAAAGCTGTAACTGAAAAGAACACGTTCTCTGAATAAAGTACGGTCATACGATCTTAATCCTGCTGTCTCGTTCATATTTAAAATAATTTTCGAATCATTTTTATTTTTAAGACAAAACAACAATTTTTACAGTAATTATACATTCTCATTACGTCCTTACAACTCTGTGAATTGCGTGACTTTTACAAAAGCAATTTTTTTAATGCGTCACTAAAGTTGTTCTAAAAAATTAATTTTATCGCGCCAACCGCACGCGACATCTAGCATTGTGAGTAGACAGAAATCGAATCAACGAGCGGACCGAACCTTACAAACACTGCGAATTCTGTATGTATGTACGCATATTACTATCGGTTGATATATGTATTTTATCTGATCTTGCAACAGCAATCTAATAGATTTGATTCGTCCGATAATTTTCGTGCACTTTCTCGCGATGACTGTCCACCTGCGACAAGTGTATCTATTCGTCGAGCGATCGCTCCGTAGAACGCAGATTCGCCATTTTCTATTTCATATATATCGCGTGTCCCGCATATATATATATGAACTGTATTTTAACGGATACTTGTATCGACCTATCGTGCGGCAATATGCCAATTCGAATAGGTAGCACAGCTTTGGCATGTTACATGATCCGTTTGTTTCAGGGTTTCTGACGCAAGATACAACAATACTATTGTGTATAGTTTGGTTATACTCGCATAAACGCAAGATTCCTCTCCTAATTCGTAAACAACTACGTAAAATTTTTAATTATTAAAGAAAATTGGCGAATGTGGATTACGCGCGATAAAGTGTAAGGTATGATGGTAAGTACGATTTCTGTTCCCAGACAACACAGCATCCAAAAGACGTCCTAAAAACATAATAAAAACGTCCAAAGTATATCCTTTGGATGTACATGTGCTGTTTGGGTTATGTACTCCACGGAGAAGAAAGTTTGATTGTATTATCATGAAGTTGCAATAAACGAATCAACGCGGTTTACTTGAAGAATACGGAATTTCTGGTTCTCAGAATCAAATTTAAGTTTTAAATGCGCGTGATTATCCACCAATTTTCTTTAATTAATAACTTACTATTTTACATGGTTGTAAAATGATAGAGGAATTTTGTGTTTAGTTTAACCTAATCTATATACTTGCACACGAACATTGTCGTGTCTCGCTTTAGACATCCTGTAGATAATAGAACGGGAAATTTCACAACTTAATTGTCAAATGTAAAACTCAAAAGTGATATAATCTCAATAAATTCAGTTGTCGGTGATATAAAGGCACGGTGTGTGAATTTACGCGTATTAATTGTTATGAATATTGGTTGTGAATATTAGTTGAGATATTAGTCGTAAGTTGTGAATATTTCTGTTCAAATATTGGCTCGAATTGTCCAGACTGTACATGATATCCTACAGATATCCGTTTCATATTCATTTTATATTGAAATATTTATAAACTTTATGACACCTAGTAAGCAAGAAACATAAAATCTACATTTTTTAACGTTGATATGTATAATTTTTATAATGTTTTATAAATGTTTTACAAGTATTACTTAATATAACATTGATTTCCAAGTATTTTTGGAATATTTTAAAAACATACTTTGTTAATGTTATTACAACATATTTATTAGAAATAAACACAACATATCAGCGAATAACTTGTATACATAAAGAAGTTGATCAATTATATGTCTAACTTAAACGATGTTTAGTATAATATTTCCTAGATAGCACAACATATTCTGGGATTATACTGAATATACACAGGAAGCTCTGGGACACTCGCCAAAACAACTTTTACTTATTGAGAAGACATTCATAAGATGTACATTTGTGAACATTTGTGATATCCCATAATAAACACATTTATATATCTATATGACATCTATATGACATCTAGAGAGCCCAAATATAAGTCAATTAAATATACAATTATTTTTAATTATATATTAATAATGTTTATTCCAAATTAATTACAGGGTATTTCCTAAGTACATATAAAAAATGCAGAAAGTGATTCTTGATATGAGAATAAAAAAAATCATGAACATATGTCTAAAATGTTTTGTTTCCAAGATATACCACCTGAAAGAGGCAATTTAAAAAAATATCTTTTTGTGAATAAAAAGATAACGGTGAAACAAAAATTTTAAATTTAAATATTTTTTATTGTTTTTTATTAGAATTTAAATATTTTTTGTTGTTTTTTATTAAATAGAAAGTAAAAAGAAGAAATATTTTAGGAGGTTCTTATGAGAGACTCTTATGAGCTAACAAGCTGAAATTTTTCTGATAAACTTTTGTAAATATATAAATGGAAGTCTCTCGATGATGAAACAAATGTCCCTATTTAATCCCTGGATGTCTTCCATCTACTGATATTGTTATCCACTTTTCCATTGGCATTTTGGCTGTCATTTATCTAAATATTTTTTTCTTATTTTTCTGCTACATAGAATTTTAATCTAAATTAAAATGTTATGTGTAATGCCTTTTTTATGACGTTCATTTCATATCCATATAAAAATCCGTACCATATATTATTTTTAATTTATGTTCATTCAGCGTTCATTGGATATCCCTGGACATATCAGAGATTAAGTCATATCCATCAAATTCATTTATGGATACTCCATACTGAGAAAAAAGCGATTGGATCGATAAAATCGGCCAGTTACCAGCCATCAAAGAAATATTGAGTCTATTCAATAAAATGCATATATTAATATAACAATAAGTTGTGTTGATATTACTATATTAATGCAAATATAGTGATTTAAACGCAATTTATTGTACCAACGCGTATATTATTGAATAGATACAATATTTCTTTGATAGGTGACCGTCGATTTTATCGATCCAACTGTTTCTTTTCTGTGTATAGAAATGCATTATGTGTTTAAGAATCATAAAATGGATATTTTATGGATATTCTAAATATCCTTAAAGGATATTTCTAGAATATTTTTCGGATATCTCGTGCTATCTGGTTACTTGAGGGAGAAATAGTGTCTTCTGCTTATCTTAAAATTAATTTAAGATTAGTCTGTGTTGCTTTTATATATTTTCTGTAAGCTTTAGAAAATAATAATTTTTTTTTGCAATTATTTAACACTTGCTGATAATCTTAATTTTCATATATTGTCAAGATTATAACTTTAAGTAACCTTCAAAGCTCAGTGATCATTGTTCATTAAAAAGTTAAAAATAGCCCAAACATAAGTGTCTAAGAAATATCTTAGACACGTTTAAAAGACTACTTGTTTTAGACATTTTTAAGACGTATCTTAAGAGGTCTCTAGTTGCTTTCGATGCTTGTTACTGGCTTCTTTTATCGCCAGCTTCTCGCTCTCTTAATTTCTGCAAATCTCTAGCTGACAAAGTCTTTAGCGTTAAAACATTTACACGTTGCTGATAAGTATGAAGTTTGTATGAATAACTATGAAGTGGCCAGCATTTTGGAGAGAATTTAGTGAGGACGGCTAGTCTCGAGTGTCATTACGTCACCAAATGATATACTTCAAGTCGCTAGTTATCCATTAATTCATTCCGTGTAATGGATTGGAGAGTGGTGTAGGGATGAACCTCAAGGTCCACTCTCTTAAGGAGACTAGAGGGTCAGATTGCCTGAAAATCGTGCTTATTCTTTCACAATTTTTTATGACAAAATGAATATACGAAAGTGTTATTTTGACGTGTATTTATACAACATATAAAGAGAAGAAAAATATAATTTTGATGAGCAAATACTCAATATAAGTGTATAGTACATGCAGTTAAAATATACTTCGTTTTTCTTTTCAAGGTCGTAATATTTAAGATATTAAAATATTAATTTAATATTAATTTTTTACTATAAAAGAGCTGAAAATTTAATAATATTCCATTAAGATATTTGCAATTTTGTTATCTTTTACTCAATTTCTATTATAGTGATTCACACAATAAAATTCAGTTTAATTGAACCACCAAGAGTCAAAATATTACTGCAAAATAACGATCTTGAAAAGAAAAACGAAATATATTTTAACTGCATGTATCATATATACTTATATTGAGTATTTGATCATCAAAATTATATTTTCCTTCTCTTTATATATTGAATAAATGCACATAAAAATAACATTGTCGCATATTCATTCAGTTTGTCAAAAAAAATTGTGAAAAAACAAGCATGATTTTTAGGCAATCTGACCCTCTAGTCCCCTTAAAATGAATCAGTCAAACATCACTGAAAACAGTGAATAGTCACTGATATCAGTTATGAGTATAGCACTGAGCATTTTCAGTGCTATACTTATAACTGATATCAGTGACTATTCACTGATTCACTTTAAGAGATCAAGTCATAGAACAAAAGAAGAAGATTTGCTATCGTCTTGATACGGAGTTTTCTTGACGCTGCTGCTAAAGCAGCTACTTGCTTGACGAGAGCGTTAAAGTTGGGCGTGTTCAACTTTGTCGCAGTGACTACTAAACGCCGCGACTTCAAAATTGTAGACGCTAGCGAATAAAAAATAAGCGTTTTAAAGAAATGTTTATCAGCAAATTCGCTGACGAATTAAGAAGCTTGTTTAAGGCAAATAAAAGCATCTTTTGCAAACACTACGCACCTTTTAGACATTTGTGCTATCTAGTAGGCCGATTCTTTAACTTTGTAACGATGATGTCACTAGCATGGTGTGTCTTTGCACAGCTTTTCTACTAATATACTATGTATTATACTTGCACAATAACAGCATAACGATACTATCCGATGACAAATTTTTTCATGTATAATTATATATAATCATATAAAATTAATTAAACAAGTTAAAGGTTCTTGACACGAATCGAAACAAACAATTAATAAGGCAAATAAGAACCAACAACCGATCTCAGTTTAATCTTGTTTTTTTTTTTCTTTTTTTGTTTACTGGCGTACCGTCTATCTTAGTTTTATGTTTTTACATTGTTTTGATTCTTGAATTATATCATATATATGTATTTCCCATCTAACGTGCCGATCTTCATATTTACACAAACATTATTGTGATGGCCATTGGTTTTGAGTCTGACACCTAACAGCACAAATGTCCAGGAAACGTCCAGAGTACGTCCTGGAGACATTTGTACGTCCTCAGGACATCTGTGCGACGTCCCCAGGAGATTTTGTGCTATATGGGACAGTTTGACTGTTGGGTAAGTTTTATATTTATCCGTTGTATTTAACCAGATTGTGATACAAGTTTTTTTTTTATTAAAGGCCACAGTCAACCGGTTAGATTTAATATTACATCCACTCCATATGATTCCGCTGCGTGATAATTTTAGCCTTTTGATGTTTCAAGCGATGTTCATGAAACTACGTTTTTTATGAATTTTTTTTTTACTGAAGAGAGTCCAAAACGAGACTGAAACGTTTGAATTTTTGTAAATATAAGCCATTGCATATCTATTGGTTTGATTAAATTGATAAGTGCGCCTTTGAGATCGGCTGTTGGCTCTTATTTGCTTTATTAATTGTTTGTTTCCATAAAATTATATATAATTATACACAATTATGTATAGTTATATGTATAATTACATATAATTGTATACGTAATTATGTAAAATTATATATGAAATTATATATATAACTATACATGATTACATATCAGTAATATGTATCAACATGTATAGACAAATTTCATACATAATTATATATATAATAATGTAAAATATATATAATGTAAATTATATATATAATAATGTAAAATTATATATTATTTTATATAATTTTACATAATTATGTAAATTTTACATAATTATGAAAAATTTTTCATTGGGTATCGTTAAAAGTTGCAGAATCGGTGTACAGGAAATACAACGAAACTAATATAATCTTTTATTTTATCTTTTAGTTTTTTCCTCGTGTATATAGAGCTATATATGTCTTACAAAGCTACTAAACTAAATAATTACCTTTATTTGTTACAATGTTAAGAACTTTTTAACAAATTTCTATTTTTCCGCACTTTTATTCAAATTTCGTTTTATATAAATAATTGGGTTTAATGTCTGCTTTTAAAACCTATTGGAGTATATTGTAGTAGAGAAGTTATCAAAAATTTTTTTGGATTTTTTGAAAGTATAGAATATAAAAATAACATAAGGTGGACTTAGATTTGAAACTTAGACAATTTCATAATTTTCTGTTCGAAGATTTTTCGTGTGTTTAATAAAATATAATTTAGCATGGAGAGGATTTTTTTTTTATAATCGGTTTTATCGAAAATATATCATTAATATTCAACTATTATGCACACAGTGGTACGCGTTTATAAGTGTGCATCGCTTTTTGGTAATTTTATTTAGCGAGATATTACGTATGCATAGAATTGACCTTTATGCGATCTGCGGCACGCACGTATCGATGCCACACGTGTTATGATTTCGAGAAAATGCAGCCTTTTATCGACATTTCGCTACATATCTAAGAAACAGTGCGATACGATTGCACGTGGTCGTGCGAATTCTTCTTTGGTGGGAAGAGTTTTATTACCCGTCGTGGGACGACACACTAACAAGTAATTATCTTTGCTGTATTTTCGTGTAGTGAATTTTTATAAAATTAAATTTCACTCGAAGAGTGACAGCTGAATCACAGTTTGAGTGATTTTTCATTCGTACAGAGTGAATTTTTTATTCTGAATCCAGTGAATATTTCCACTTGAAATTGAAGAGTGAATCTAATATATTTCATCGTTTTCTCAGAAACAGATTCACTCAAATTGACTAAAACGTTCGCTCATATAGAACCAAATCAACAATGTACTTTAAACTTGGGTGAATTTGTTCTAATGATTTCGAATAGCAATATTTTTCATTCTTTCTTCGAGTGAATATTTACTTGATTTGAATGAAATTACATTCCAAGAAATTTAGGGAGTATCTTTATCCATTGTTAACTAATGCGTTTGAAGTAGATTGGGTTCCGAAACATCACTTCATCTGTCGACTGTCAGAATGGCGTCGACGTCCAAAGGTGGCGGCAAAAACGTTGGCCATTCTGGTGCGAAAAAGTTGAATAGTTTGAGCTTGGAGAAGTCGCCGTATTTACTGCAACATGCGGCCAATCCTGTGGAATGGTATCCTTGGGGCGATGAGGCTCTAGAGCGGGCCAAAAAGGAGGACAAGATGATTTTCCTGTCGGTCGGCTATTCTACATGTCATTGGTGTCACGTGATGGAAAAAGAATCGTTCGAGAACGAGGAAATCGCACGCATCATGAATGATAACTTTATTAATATCAAAGTGGACAGAGAAGAGAGGCCTGATATCGACAGGATATACATGACGTTCGTTCAGGCAAGTGTTCTCGCGTAAACTAACAAGGATAATTCTCAAATAGCGCAAAGATATCCAAAAAATATCCTACAAATATCCTTCAAAGGAATAAAATAAAATATAAATAGGACAAGTTCGAAGGACATTTTATGTCCTTCGAACATATAATAGCATATTCATGTGTAAATTTAGTGAACACGTTTTCATTTCTAATATGTCTAGGAGATATCCGGTAAATGTCGAATGGACATAAATTAACACTAATGGATATGCAGAACGGATCTCATATTTAATTATTAACCCTTTAAGTCATAGTGTATTATATATGATACACCTTTTTTAGAGCAGTTTTTACGAATTTAAACTAATTTGTAGAGGCTTCAAAGCGGTAAATATGGATTCATTATGAAGCTTAGATGTTTTTCTAACAAAATCATCTGCATAGAACATTAAATTTTGAAAATTTAATTATTCATAAACAAATTAATGTAAAAAATGGTATTTTTTTTAAAGAAATTCATTTGCCAGAAATATTGTAAAGTAAACTCATCGAAAAAAAATGGCTTGGTTGATTCTTTTTGAGCTGTAGATGATGACGCAACCTCAAAAATTTCAAAATTCAGGATGGCGAACTCAATATAGCGAGCTAAAATACTAATAATCGGGATAAGTTATATTTCTTTCTATAAATGAATGAAGTTGAGTCTGTGAATAGCTTGAATTTTAAAAAAATAATTTCGAATTCATGATCAGCGACACCAAAAATCCTCAGATATCAATTTTTACGGAAACCGAAGGAGTTTTAAAATTGTCGTTTGCCATATTGAATAAAAACCTCAGATATCGATTAAACAAAGAAAAAGATTGTGCAAAAAAATTCGTGATTTAAAGGGTTAAACAATTTAATTGTGTGTATATCTAGTAAGCAAGGAACATTAAATTAACGTTTAGAAACGTTGACTTCATGTGCATTGCTTGGACATTTTTTAATAATATTGCATTTATATTTTTCACATGTAATTTTGTGATATGATTTTTCCGAATGTTGTTTAAACGTTTTAAAAACATTATAAAAAATATATTTTTCAAATGTTATTTTAACATTTATTTGAGATCAATGCAACATCTTAAAAATGTGTCTGCCGATTAAAACGTTATAGCAACCCTATTTCAACATTATTGAAACTTCCAAATCGCGGTCAAAGTATGTTCATAATGATGTTTGATACAATATTAAACACTACATATTTGACAATATTACAGGTTCTTCAATATCATTGTAGCAACGTTGTATTAATGATTTCTTGCTTACTGATTGCTAATTATGTTAATAAGTATACCTATCCTATAGATATATCGAGCATAAACTAATTCGCGCCCATTTTCGTAGGATTATCACTTATTTTTTATTTTTCATAAGAAAGGGCGCTATGTAAATAGTAGTCGTGAATTAATTTGCGCTCTGTATATATTTTACAGGCAAAATCAGGTCATGGTGGTTGGCCGATGAGCGTTTTTCTGGCCCCGAATTTAACGCCGGTGACAGGCGGAACCTATTTCCCACCGGATGACAGATACGGTCTCATAGGGTTCAAATCGCTCTTGCTAGAAGTTGCGAAGAAGGTACACGCACGAAACATACTTACACATACTCGAGATACGAAATTCGCTTGATACACTTCGCATCCACGTTTAACACATCACGCGTAGTCGTGCGAATCTATCCTCGTCAGTCCCGTCAATGATATGTTTTCTGTGGTAGTGGGCACTGCAGAAAAACGACATAATCAAATCTGGCGCTAACATAGTGGGTCGTTTAAAGGATATCGTAGAGCGTAGAGAAGGCCTAAAGGTGAACAAAACATTCAAAAAATTTACTTTTATTTTTATCGAACAGTATATAATTCGAGGATCCTAAACTGCCGCATGAATTTTTCTACTGCAGGAGGACGATGGATTCCCCACGGTGGAATGCAGCTTACTGTGCGTCCACCTTCTGGCGAACGGATACGAGCCGAAATTTGGCGGATTCGGCAGTCAGTTCAGAATGAACGCGCCGAAGTTTCCCGAGCCTGTCAACTTCAATTTTCTCTTCAGCGTATATGCTTTGAGCTCTTCGTCCGAGCTGCGTAAGGAGTGTTTAGAGATGTCCTTGCACACCTTGACGAAGATGGCTCATGGCGGGATTCACGATCACGTAGGACAAGTGAGGTTCTTCATTCTCAGCAGTCCAGCTGTTGTACGCAAATCGAATCGTCTCGCCTGAATGGTTATTCGATTGTTCCAGGGATTTTCGAGATACTCCGTAGACGGCGAGTGGCATGTGCCTCATTTCGAAAAAATGCTCTATGATCAGGCGCAAATAATACAAGCTTATGCTGACGCTTATGTTATCACGAAAGATCCTTTTTACTCCGACATTGTGGACGATATCGCGACATACGTTGAACGTGACTTACGACATAAGGTATTATTTGTACGCTTTTTTCGCTTATTTTTTCAATTCCACGTTAAATATACTCCGAACACTCGATTGCCTATTATTCTCCAAGTTCAACTAACCAAGTTCAACAAACAATTCTCTGTATTTGGATCGTAAAATCATGAATACTGTTGCATATGTGAAAGTGTTGCATGTGTGAAGTTTGCGGCGTTGCGAAACATGCAGCGGGTCCTGAGCGGTCCTCTTGGTGATGGTCGCTAAGGAGCGGTTGTCTACAATAGCTAGAGAGTTGAGAGTGAGAGATTGTAAAAGATAGACGTGTTTCTCTGATGAGAATCTTATTCTTTCTGGTTTCACAGTTTGACAGTTTGTCATTAAAGCTCTCTGTTTCTACAACGTGTTTATTCATTTCCTCGAGTTCACGGAAACAGTCGCGAGTGTAACAATACGTAAAAAATATACCTGCGATAGGCTTGATATGAAGTACAGCATTTACGTGATTCAGGAAGGTGGTTTCTACAGCGCGGAGGATGCGGATTCGCTGCCGGACTCGCAGGCTTCGGCGAAACGAGAGGGCGCGTTCTACGTTTGGACTTATGACGAACTCAAGAGCCTTTTGGACAAGAAAGTACCCAACCACAATAACGTTCGATTTTTCGATTTGATCTGCTATCACTTCAACGTGAAAAAAGAGGGAAATGTGCGGAAGGCTCAAGTACGTATCGTGATTGCAGAAAATAAGGAATACGATAAAACTAAACTTACCAACGACATTTTTCGACATAGGATCCTCATGGCGAACTCACGGGTAAAAATGTGTTTATCGCGTATGAGGCAGTGGAAAAAACCGCGGAGCACTTCGGCATCAGCCTGGAGGATACGAAAACTTCTATCAAGCAGGCTTGTCAAATTTTGTTTAAGGAGAGATCGAAAAGACCGCGACCTCACTTGGACGACAAGATGGTCACAGCGTGGAATGGTAACGCATTACTTATATTGTTATAAGCAATGCTTGCTCTCTGCAGTTTCATGACGCACGTCTCGCAAAACTTAACGTGGCTTTTTCCCGATCTATTTGCAGGCCTCATGATAAGTGGCTTCGCACGCGCTGGAGCAGCTGTGCGGAACGCAAAGTACGTGGAATTAGCGACGGACGCTGCCAAGTTCGTGGAGCGATATCTGTTTGACGAAAATAAAGGCGTGCTGCTTCGCAGTTGTTATCACGGGGAAGGCGACAAAATTATACAAACGTGAGAGTGCACTGTTTTATTTCTATATCTCGATAGAGATGAAATAAGATGGCTATGACATATAATGATGATGATACAAAAGTAGGAAAGCAGAAGTAAGAGTTAATCGGATGAAAATTATAAAAAATATGATATAAGCCAACGAATTTTTTACATACCTTTCGGTCTATCATTTGGGTCATTTTTAGTATATAAAATTATAAAAAATCGCAACACTCATATTAATTAATTGTAGTGTAGTGTTAGAAAAATATTAACATCGTAATTCAAAACTGATTACTTTATAAATTCAAGAAAAAAATATATATATAAAAATTAGATAAAACTCTAATTAAAACTCTATATTCAATATTGTATATAATGATTATCCATCAAAATTAATTTTTGGCATTATGAGGAAAAGATTAATAAAGTTAGCACACAAACAATAGACATGTGACTTTGATTAGAATAATATTAAAATTTCTGACAAAGAAAAAACCTACGTTAAACGTTGTGTAGCAAAAATATTTTATATTAAAAGTCGAAATAATAGCATTAATATAAGAAGATACGTTAGGACTTAGTAAAGATAATTGGCCTATTATTAAGAGACTCTAGCATATGTAATATTTGTTCGTCGACACATATTCGTTGACGATGATAACACATACACATTTTATACTAAAATGCTTTATAATATCTACGTGTTTATATATTGAGCTTTATCGCTGAGACAAGTCAATAGTTCAATGTGTTGCGTTCACACAGGGTCTGAGTACAATATTGACATCAATACTTATATAATTATGATTGTTAGATAAACTTCTAGTTTAATTTAATGTTTAGTTCCTGAGCTTTTTAGTTACGGTTTTGCCTAATTCTTACATTTTTTTTCTTGACTTTAAAAGGCTTGGTCTACAATAGAGAATATAAGCCGTAAGAATTGGTCTCTCTCGATCATAGCCAATTATTCTTGTAATAATCTACTGTAGGCGCTTGTAGACCAAGCCTAAGATAGCAATCACTTTTGGATTTTAGCATCATTATTCATTTGACATTGCATTACAATTAGTTACGTGTTGCGATTTTTTTATAATTTTATGCACTGAAAATCCAAATGCTAGATCGAAATGTATGTGTAATGTGTAAATGTATGTAAATTTGACTTATAATCTATCATATTTTATCATTTTCGTCCAGCTAACAGGCCATTATTCTTGTTTGCTTTTGTATTGATTTTATATCTTGAAAGCTCTAATTTCTTTGGAATGATGATGATTTACAGGAGTGTACCGATAAACGGTTTCCACGATGACTACGCGTTCATCATAAAGGGACTGCTTGACTTATATCAGGTTAACTTTGATGTACATTGGCTTGAATTCGCTGAGCAACTACAAGATATACAGGATCGACTGTTTTGGGACTCGCAGGACGGCGGTTACTTCTCAACAGTCGATGACTCTCAGATGATTCTACGAATGAAAGACGGTATGTTGTTCTGATGGTTGCTTTTGCGGTAATTTTAGTTCGCCCATTAAACATCGGGTACTTGAATGCGTATAGTCGTGCTAGCTGCGCGTTTCGGATAAACGGAAGCAAGCGAGGCGAAACCGCACATTCTGCCGTAAAGATCATGGGGTATCCAAATATTTATAGCATCGTTTATTGAATGTCTTATTACATTCAGTCGTTATGTCATGTCTTGACTTTATATTGGAAGGGCAGAATGGGAGTAAATATTTGAGGAATATTTGTAGAATGGAACAATCGAAATCGTATTTATATGAAATGAGAGTAGAACACTTGCATTTGATTAATGTATCTCCAAATTGGCGATAACTATGTATGTATATGATGTTATTGTTCGTGAAATTTAGTATCGATTTTGATATTGATGTCTCAACATTTTGATTAAGAAAGAACCGACTCTAATTTTTGTTGGAAACTATGCTCGCTTTGTAACTACTTTGTGTTATACAATTCTAACACATTCTACATCTATAATAAAACAGAAATTTGTTTTCACTCTTTTAGTTAATTTTACTTGCAAAGAAACGATTGAAAGTGACTTTCATCGATTTTGATGAATTTTTAAATATACTATAGAATAGCAAAATTAAAAGACATATATATATATATATTTATATATATTTTTTTTTTTTTTTATGTACATGTTTAGGGGTTAAAATCAAGAAGAACGGAGTATATCGAAATTATTTCACTAGCAAATTTATAATGGTATTGTATATACGGGAATTTGTTTAAAAGAAATCCGGAAAATATGGTCAGAGAGAGACTCTATTTTATAGGAATATTAGGGAAAGCGAGTTGTGTGTGTGTGAAATCTTTTCATGCTTGCAATATTGTGTTTGTAAATTTATTCTTTGCTATGATGTTGTGTTTAATATTTTCATCTTTAAAAAATTTTACAAAGGAAATAAGTAGGAAAATGGGACAAGTTAAAAATTTGATATTTTGGAAAAATCGAAACACCTCTTGTAAGGGAGGTGTGGAAGTAGTATATAATATTGTGTCAGAATCAATAGTTGCTCCGTAAATAGGAATATTAGTTAAGGCTCTAATACATTTAATTGTATTGGCGAATCTATTTATTCTTTATTTAAGTGGATACAATGCGCTCACGCCTGCTGAGAGACCCGGGAACAAAACTCCTCAAAACTCGAATCCTCCTGTCCTCGTTGTTTTCTCATATTTATGTCGTCTCGATATTTTCCATCCTTCTTTCATTGATAATAATTGCGATAACATCTATAGGCCTGTTTTTTGTAGCTGCACTGCTGAACTAGTGCAATAAATTAGAGTGAGAAAATGTATATTTGTCTTACTTCAATATATTGCAGCAGTTCAGCAGTGCAACTACAAAAAACAGACCTTATGACACAGACTGGCATCAGTTATGATTCGAATTGTCAAATATCGCGCGCTTACAAATTGGAAAAAGTATACTATAAATACCATAAAACTATTGCACACAATTTTTTCCATTTATAAAGAAAGTCGATTATTAATGAAAAGTTTCAAGATATTCACTGGAAGCTAAATATTCAAATTATCTTCAAGAAAATGTTTCACCTTTTCGAGGATAAACGTGAAAAGAAGCATATAAGAAATATAATTTTTTTACGTGTATGTATATCTAAAATTAATTAAAATTTACGAGGGACACACTTCCGACTGTTTTCTTGTTGAACGTTTCCATTTTTTTGCGAAGCTTCTAATGTACTTTGTTGCAGCTCATGATGGCGCAGAGCCGTCCGGTAATTCAATCGCTTGCTCCAATCTGCTGCGGCTGGCGGCTTTCTTAGATCGCAGCGAGCTCAAGAATAAGGCCGCGCGACTTTTGCGCGCCTTCGGCAAAGGACTCACGGAGATACCGATCATATTTCCGCAGATGACCTTGGCGCTACTCGATTATCACTACACAACGCAGGTGCACATCATCGTTATTATTTCAGTAAATATGCAGTATAACGCTCTCATCTAGGATTTTTTCAAACTTTGTAAATTTGTACATTTTAGGGCATAGAATTGATTTCTGAAAACGAAAATTGTCGCTCATTTTTCGTTTTTTTGTTTTCTTATTTTAATATTTTATGATGTTGGTAAGTAGGAAAGTGATAACTTTTATTATAAAACTTTCTAACTTTGTATCAATGCATGCATGAACTATTCTCTGTTTTATAACAGAGTTTATGCTTTTGATTAAACCCAGACAGCACAAATCTTCACAGGATATCCTAAAAACATTCTTTGAACGTTCCTACATTCTGAGAACGTCTTCAGGACATCCTCCAGAGATCTTGTGCTGTTTGGGTTTAATCAAAAGCATAAACTCTGTTATAAAGTAGAGAATAATTCATATATGCTTTTCTCTGTTTTAATCATATATACTATCTTATAAGACTTAAATAATTAGACACATTGACACAAAGTTAGAAAGTTTTATAATGAAAGTTATCACTTTCCTACTTATCGACATCATAAAATATTAGAATAAGAAAACAAGAAAACGAAAAATGAGCGACAATTTTCGCTTTCAGAAATCAATTCTACGTGTTAAAATATACAAATTTACAAACTTTGAAAAAATCCAAGATGAGAGCGTTATACTACATATTTATCATTACTTCCCTGCTTAAAATATTGGGTAGAAAATGATAGAAAATTTGTCTATCATATTTGATGATTTTGATTCACATATTTCACAACTCATTTACGAAATTTCGTAAGTGAATTCATATACCATATATTATACTGATTATACCAATTTTCATATTCAACATGATGGAAAAGAGTAGTATCATAAGATATGATTAAACTACATAGATATTCTTTTCATTTTTATCTGATTTTGTATCATTATAAGTAGAATTATTATGAAAGAATATTATAAGTAGTTTATTATAAAATAATAATAAATACATAATGCGATATTTATTATGATTCAAAAATATCAATTTATTATATAAACATCAATATTCAAGATGATTGAAAAGAATTGAATAGTATCATAAAATATGATTAAAATATATAGAAAGTCTATGTGTACGGCCTCGGTGCATGATAAGTCGTATAAATCAATATAGGAATTCTATCCATTTCAATCTTATCCAATCATTTTCTACCAGTTATTTTAAGCAGGCTTCTTTGCCGTTAATTACGCGTTTACGTGCGCGCACAGGCCCAAGCGTAACCACACCACTTTTGCAAAGCTCACAGAACCGTCGGCGCTCTGTTCAAGCCAAGTTCTTCCTTCTAGATTTATATACTAGGGAAACCGGGCGCCGAGGACACGAACGAGATGTTGAACGTGATCCGTGAACGTTTGATACCCGGCATGGTGCTCTCACTGGTCGATCACGAGCGGCAGGATAACGTGCTGTTCCGCAAGAACGCGATCGTCAGCAAGATGAAAGCGCACAACGGCCGCGCGACGGTCTTCGTGTGCCGACATCACACGTGTTCCCCACCCACTACGAGTCCGAGCGAGCTCGCCTCCCTGCTGGACGACAAGGGATTCTCCGCTCTGTGAACGGCGCGGCGAGGTCGCGCTGGCTCGGATTTCGCATTGCGCACGTTCCACGCGTGTCAGGGACGGCGATACGCAGCGAGGGGAGACGTGTCGCGATTATTCGCCGATATATCTTGGCGCCGATTGTACGCTCGTCCCAGGATCTATTGCTGTTAAATAATGCAACGTTAGTCGACGAATTGGTATAGGGAGAGTCCGCCTCCACCAACCGCCGTAGCATCGTCCTTGCGACTCGACATAACTCGGACGAATCGATAACACGTCGCGGCCGAGTAAAGAGATGTATCCCCCGCTGTTGGCAACATTGGGGATGGCTGCGGAGTAATAAAGCTGTTGTTGTTGCACATTATTGCATTGTAATGTCGTTTATTTTTGTTCCGAATAAAAGTTGCAACTGTAAAAAAATGTACTGTAAAAAAACTGTAAAAAGAATTATCCACCCTCTTTCTTCTCCTTCACTTTCGTTCCTTTTTTTCCCTTGCCGTTTTGCGTGTCACTTATTAACACTCCTGTTGGGCAAAGTACACTTTGCAAAATGTCAAATATTAAGGACCGTGCTGGTCACTTGAAACGACTGCAAATGCGCAACACGCGTGGTTGATTTCTATTTTCGGCCCACGCGCGGGGAGGAAGTCGATTAAGGTCGACGACGGCGACGGCTGGCGTTTGTAATCTCCGACGGATTTGATCGTTTCCGGACACTGTAGACTTTAATCGCATGTCCAGTATCCGGCGTTCATTATCGGTATTACCTCATCGTTCTTCTCGTCGAAAATCATATAATGTAACTACGATACACACACACACTCACACACATACAACTCTCTTGTAGTGACTCTTCCCACTCTCCTGTTCGATTTCCGAGCAAAAATAGATGAAGCGTACAGGGAGTTGGTCACCGAGCGTTATGATGTTTCAGCCTCGACTCGACTCTATCATTGAACGATGAGTACCAGGAGTTCTCTCGCTGGAAGATCGCAATATGTGGAAGATCAAAGATTATCTGTTCTTCGTTACGTGCATGTTGACGCAATACCGTTGTGTATGCGTTACGATACGTTGTATATAATTCATTATGTTGCAACGAGCGGCTATGTAGTCTGCACTGTTATGAGTTCCTCCGTGGTTTATTCAGAATGTTTTTTGGAAAAATGATATTAAGCATTATCTTATAAACGTTCCTTATAGCACAAAATCTTGAAAGGATATCTTGGGGACTTGTGTGAATATTTAAAAGTTCTCGGAATATTTTTAGGATATTCTGAGGACTTATGCGGACATTTAGCGATCCTCTGGATGTCTCTGGGACATCTTTTAAATATTGTGCTGTGTGAGATATACAACATAAAAAACAAAAGGATGTACAAAGTGTTTGAAAAATAGGTGACCAAATTTCAAGATTATTTCTTACTTTGTTATTACTTGATTTATGACGTCAGAAGCGAGAAAATTTTGGAAAATATATTTCAATACATTGAAATAAAATGGTAAGTAAGTGTGAAATTAAAGTGATAAAATTATAAGAAAAATTAAAAGGATAGATATATTACAGGTTACGTTAATTTCATGATAATTTGTTAATTGTTAGAGCAAAAAAAATGTTGGAACTATTTTGCAGATCTACTCAAATGATTGCAAATGTCATTTTATGGTATATCTTGTTTATTTTAATGTATTTTGCAAGAATTTTGAGCGTGTATTTTCTCGCGTTTCTGATGTTATCAATCAAGAATTCCACGGCGAGGAACTTGAAACTTTAAAAATGTATTCTACTTATCATAAGAATGAAGAAAGGTAATATGAACATGATAATAAATAGAAATGTTTCCTTCCAGCCATTGTAGATGGATCTTTACAGAACCTACTGACAGAATCTGAGAGCAGATTGGCGGCAGCAGACTGTTTTCGTAGGTTATTTAATTTAAATCAAATGGTGACATACGTACGCTTTTAAATAGCTACTCAAAACTGATATTTAACCCTTGCATTGTCCTATATTTGTACTCGTTTTTTATATACTTCATTTCTGTTGCTTTTCTATTTTACAGAAAATGAATAATACGCGATGTAAAAACAAGTATTTTTTATTATTTATAACATGAGGTTGCATATATCAAAGAATGTACACTGAAACGGTAACAACATTTTTGTATATAATAATAACACAATAACAATAATATGGACTACAATTAAACATTACTGTTTTAATCTTCCGTTAATCTTGATTCAATTTTACAATTACATTGAGTTTCAAGACAATTTCAAAACAATTTCTATATATATTTTTCTTGATCTAGTATGGAGAACAGTCCGATAAAAAAGCTTCATTTCTGAAGATTAATCAAAAACATGTTCTCCTACTAGATTAGTGATTATTTTTCAAATCGAGCAAAAAGTATTCTAACAGTTTTCAAACTCACTGTATATTTTTTTATAGACACAGCTCAGATAGTACAGATAGTCCAGATAATACATTCAAAAAGAATTCAGTCGTATATAAATATATTTCGTATGTCACAAATTCTGAGTTTATTTTCAAATGCAAAAAAGATTTTTCAGAGTTCAGTTCAGTGAAAAGGATTCTTTCTGCATCTAAAAATGAACTAAAAATTGAGGATATACGACTGAATTCTTTTTTAATTCTCTGTGCTCTTTGGGAGGACTTCAATACCTTCCATTTCCAACAAAGATATTTCAGCTCGGGCGTATTGTATCTACATATTTTTCTATCATGATTGTAGATGAAAAGCGAGTCTCGTCAGTGAATACCGCTGCATTGACTTATTTTTTGAAATGAGAATAGTCTATAAAAATATATAAAATAGGGCATTCTTTTAAGAAAATGATATTTAAAAATATCTCATGCGCTTGAATTTCAAGTGTACGTCTTTAAGGAATAAACTTTGTAGGGTCCGCGTATACTATCGTTAATTATCCCTTAAGTATTAACGATACCTTATTTAAGAAATAAAGTATTATTAATAGTAAATAGTATTAATAGTAAAAAGATGTTATTAATGGTAAGTAATAGTAAATTTACTAATAGTAAATAATGTTAAAATAGATTAACAGTCTTTCTTCCTGATTAAAATCTAAATTTAATCGATAATATTCACAGATTTTATTAAATTAACAATAAAAGCACGAAAAATATATTTTTTATCTAAATTGTTTACTTTTGTAATAATATTAAATTATAGTATAAAAAAAATTATATTACTGACAAAAAAGATCATATATAGGCAACTCGAAAATTCAAAAAATTCTGAAACATTGTGTGCAAGTAGAGTAGTTCGTCCGTAACATAAAACTATCTTTTATTCCTGCTAAATTATGATTCAGGGGGGTGAAATTACCCTTCGAAAAAACATGACATTTTTAGCGAATATTGTCTAAAATGCAAGGTATATGAAAAAATGATTTATGTAAAAGTTGTAGAGTATTTTATACTTTTTGCAACGATATATTCAGAGTTTGCAAAAATGAACCCCTCCTCCCCCCACTCATTACCTTTACAAATTTTTTAAGTTCTTGTTAGGACAAAAATAAAAAGTGTGATTTATTTTGTGCATATTCATTTTTAAACCACATATTTAAATAAATTATGAAACCTGGAGGATAAGTGATGATGCACTAATGACTGCAATTTCAACATATTATTTTTAGAATGGAGATTACTTGCAAGATCTAATATGAACAGTGTGTGTATGTGTGTGTTAGAAAACTTTTTAATAAATTTTTTTCATAATCTGAAGCCGCATATACGTCTGATAAGTATATATCTCTTCCTAAGGTGATACGAAAATGCAATCGTCAGCATGAACTTTAGTTGTTGACGCAGAACGTTTAACATTGATAGATCTGTCTGTTTGCAACTTGAATGACGTATGATAACTCACACAGCACAGAAATTTCAAAAAGCTATCAGAAAGGTTTCAGAAACATTGAACCTTTCTGAAATCTTCCTGAAATCTTTTTGGAACTTCTGTGCTGTGTGGGAATCCTGTCCACGGTTTGCACTATCTCCCCAGTAAATATTGATTATTGCAATAATATTACACAAAAATAACAAGTAATATAACATCAGTTATATGAAGGTTATAAAAATGTCACACATAGGTTTTTGCGTAATATCACAACAATATATGCAGAAACATTAAAATACAACATTGTTATAAAGGTATTTGTAATATAACAGAAATAGTGTTAAAATACATGACTAATATATAACATCATTATATTACGTGTTATACTGATGAGTAGGAGATTAGAACTAACCAGTAACTTACCGGAAACTCATGCAACAGGCTCTGTCGACAACAGATTGAGAACGCAGATATGGATCTATCTAGATTCTACTCGAATCTGTCATCAATCTGATGTTAGTCTGCGCACAGATTGCTTACTGGGTATGTATATACAGGATATTTCAGACTATCTTCCGCAACTTTTGTGGGAACGTAGAATGGATTGCGGTGAACATAAAAGTTCCATAACGTTTTGCGAAAATCGCAACAATAATCGAGATATTAATTGAAGAAGATTTGTGTGTGAATAATCACATGCTTGATATGGTAGATGAGCTGCAATGACGTCGTGTACTTGTATATTAGTTCAAATTGAACAAAAAAGTCCTCTGCCATTTTGCAAATGACCACGTAGATTTTAATTACACCACGTAGTTATTAATTAAAGAAGATTGGTGTATTATCGCGCAAAATCGTGCAACAATTTTCTTTCATTAATAATTAGAAGCCTACGTAGTTATTTGCAAAATGATGCAGAACTCTTTTACTCACTTTAATCTAATGTACAAGCACTCGACAAACGTCACGTCATACATTACGTTCAAAAAGTATCCGGAATTGTTCAATGAAACGCAAAGTAATTGTTTATTCAGTAATATTTATTTTATCTCCTTCAAAGTACTCTCCATTTGCAATATACTGGTGCCAACGCTTAATCCAGTCTTCAAGGCACTTTTCGTACGCTGAAATTGGTATTGCCTTCCGCTCTCGTTGCGAATTTTCTTTTATGGCATCAATCGATTTAAAACGCTTTCCTCAGAGTGGCAATTTGAGTTTAGCAAACAGAAAAAAGTCACAGGTTAGAAACATTAAAGAGATCGGAAGTACAATATTTTCAAAATACGTTCAAGATGTACTTTCGCCATTTTTTGACATATTGCAAAACGACTGACTCTACTCGAAAAATCATTGTTTGTATTTGTTTGTACTTCCTTTAAAATTGTTGTATCTCAAGTGTAACGAACGTATAGTATTTTTCACCAAAAGTTTAAAAGCCTATCATTGTCATTTCTTAAGATGTGGATGTGTGTGTGCGCGCGCGTGTGTTGGTATGTATCACAGCAAAAAGGAAGATCTTATGGTTCATTCTTATATTTTCTGTACATCCTGTATTTCTGCTTCCTTCAAGATATAAATGGTATGAAAGGAGGTACAAACGATGCTTTCTCGAATGCTTTGCGATGTCTAAAAAAGGCGAAAATATCTCTTGAACGTATTTTGAACATCCTGTATCTTCGGTTTCTTTGAAGATACAAAAGAAGGATGTACAAACAACTATAAATGATACTCTTTCGAATGGCGTTAGCCATTTTTGGATCTTAAAAAATAGAGAAATAGAGAGAGAGAGAGAGAGAGAGAGAGAGAGAGAGAGAGAGAGTTGTTGGATTAAATATATCCCAAATCTTAAACAATCCTACACTTCCAAACAGTTTGAAGTACAAGCGATTTGAAAGCAGATAAAACGAGTACAAACAATAACCTTCTGAATGCCATTGATGGTTTTCATGGTTGCCATTGGTGTTTTAAAAATGAAGAAAATATCTCTTGGACGTGTTTTAGATAACCTATATTTCCGGAATCGTTGAAGTAACGATGAAAGTAATGTTGAAGTAACGTTAAACGATTTAAAAGAAAGTACAAACGTGGATAAATATGCTATTTAAGGGATCCACCTCCGATAATATTGCCCGTTACACATATTATCAAGGACAACCTCTGAGTAATATTCAAGGGGTTTTAGCCGTCGCTCATTGTTTATTAAAAAGTTATTAATGAAAAAGTTTTATCAATTGAATGTAATTTTTACATACATTGAAATATGCTAAACAGTATACATATATGAGAGAGCGGCGAAGCCTCCCTTCGCATCCCCTTCCCAAAAAACTAACCCTAACCTAACCCATCAATAAAATATTTTTTTTTATAAATAGAACGTAATTTTTGCACACAGTGTATATGGAAATATGGTAAACAGTACATGTATATGCGCGGGAGAGGGTCGGAACCTTTCCCCAAAAAACTAACTCTAACCCAACTTTTCTATAATAAATATTTTAAACCGTACATGATAAGTTAGGTTAGGGTTGGGTTTTTGGGAAGGGGCTGTGGGGGGAGGGGCTCCGCGTGTATACGTATACTGTTTACCATATTTCCATACACACTGTGTGCAAAAATTACATTTCATTTATTTTAAAAAATGTTTTATTAATGGGTTAGGTTAGGGTTCGTTTTTTGGGGAGGGGATGCGAGGGCTCCGCCCCTCCCTCGCGCATATATGTATACTGTTTAATATATTTCAATGTACAGTGTATGTAAAAATTACATTCAATTGATAAAACTTTTTTATTAATAACTTTTTAATAAACAATGAACGACGGCTAAAACCTCTTGCCTGTTATATATATTATCAAGGACAACCTCTGAGTAATATTCAAGGGCTTTTAGCCGTCGCTCATTGTTTATTAAAAAGTTATTAATGAAAAAGTTTTATCAATTGAATGTAATTTTTACATACATTGAAATATGCTAAACAGTACACATATATGAGAGAGCGGCGAAGCCTCCCTTCGCATCCCCTTCCCAAAAAACTAACCCTAACCTAACCCATCAATAAAATATTTTTTTTTATAAATGGAACGTAATTTTTGCACACAGTGTATATGGAAATATGGTAAACAGTACACGTATATGCGCGGGAGAGGGGCGGAGCCCTTCCCCAAAAAACTAACTCTAACCCAACCTATCTATAATAAATATTTTAAACCGTACATGATAGGTTAGGGTTGGATTTTTGGGAAGGGGCTGTAGGGAGAGGAGCCCCGCGTATATACGTATACTATTTACCATATTTCCATACATACTGTGTGC